CCGCATGTGAAGCGGTCTCTTGAGATCATGAGGGATGTGAGTTCATGTCATCAACGCTAATATTGATACGAGCCATTTCCTGCAGGCTGGCAAGTGGCTGCAGGATCCGGTCCTCCCTAGATGACCGCACTGTAGAGCAAGCTACGGTTGGTGTTATTGGCCAGCTCGAAATTGGACATTTAATGCCTGATGAAGTAAGTTCAATTTCGATTCACACTTGTGTATGTTGTTTTTTCCCACAGACTTTGAGGACGTCCCTTATCCGTTGGCTCGCTGGTGAGAGTCGTGAGGAGCGGCAGGCCCGTCGACTAGGGATTCTGGGAGCAACTCGAGAAGGGATAGAAGACATTGGCCGGCGCGTTGGCGAGGCTGAGTTGTGCGCTGAGGTGAATCCTCGATGGCGATAGTAGATTTATGACGTTTTGTTCAGGTCTGCATCGGCAATGGGGCGGCTCTTGAGGAGGCTGGTGTGAGTCCGTTACTTCCGCTAGTTGATCACGTGTGAAGAAGCCGACGAAGTTCATCCTGATGTTTCTGCGAGAAAATGTTGTGAAGTTGTTATCAATGCACATTCAATCTACTAGAATGAGTTTGAATCACTTCAGACGCACGAGTTGAAAATACGTTGGATGCGAGTTGGTCATCACTTCCTCTACGGCTACGCTCCGGGCCGCTCCCGATTTCAAAAGCAACGTTTTTGACTGTGTCCATTTAGCTTAGTATTGATGGTATTAACGATATAGTTACGTACTCGTGCTATCTAAAGATATGCCCACACTTCACCATCCTACAACTCGTATCTCTGTTAAACGGGTCGGTCGCCAGCCCCGGGAGCTCAAGGACAGGTTAGAAGCTCCGGCCCTGAGTTTATGGCAAGGTTTATGCAGATATAGAGTCGCCTGTTTGCAGCGGTTGGTGGCCAGTCGGAAGTCAATATTTGATAGACTTCGAGGAGTTCATGACGACTCACAGTCGGAGGTCGCTCGGTTACTCTTAGTATATTTTTCGGGCTCATCGTCCTTATATTGTTTCCCAGTGTTGTGATATATGTTCGCCTCTTTCAGCTGACCTTAGGAGTTTCCTCACTGATTATAGGAGTTTATATACAAAGTAGGGCAGAATTGTACATGAATCAACCAGAATT